TCATCTTAGCTGATCTTAGCGATTTGCTTTTGATTTTGTTGACCAAATGAGGATTTTCAAATTTTTCACCAGACTGTATTGGAGCTTTGCTTTTGTATGTGTTTAAACTTTCAAAGGCACTGTTTTGTATTCTAACCCGAATGATTTAATGTTAATAAGTCTGGTGGAGAAATTTTAAAACCATTTGTTTGCCAGCGAGATCAAAAGTCAATCGCCAAGCACTCAAAGTACAATATTTTGATGAAGTTTTCGTTTGGGACATGCCATCCTTATAAATTTCCACCACTAGTGGTGTGTGTTAACGAAGTGAAAATATCAAATTATAGGTATTTATTATTTAACTATTATTATATCTTAGGGCCTCGACGTCGCGCGTCGTAGCGTAAAAGGCACTATAGCGTCATATACCTACAGGTTACAGTGTATAAAAAAATCCTCTCCTAAAAATATATCATTATTAATAATTATATTTGTATTTACCTGATTGCACGCATTACAGTGATAATGTTCTTTTCGTTTGAGCTTGCAGAAAGCTCGGCTACAGGGTTGCTCGGGTCCGTATTTCTCATGCCGTTCTAAACTCATCCACTCTGGTAAAACTTGAATAGTCACGACCGGTTCGATACTCAAACTGGAATCTGTTTTAGGTTTTTCTAAATAATGCACAAACAATGTTTCCATTAATATTTATTAATTATTTGAATAGATCAATTTACATTAGCAATTTAATTTGATACTATAATAATTAATAATCAATTCTACTTAATTAATAACAAGAATCGCGTGGTGTACAATCAAGTCTTTCGACTTTATAATATATATAGTGTGACGATAATAATAAGATGTGTAAAATGTTCGATCACTTCCACCGAAAAAAGCGAAGCTAATGAATTATAATTCTGTATATATAGTATATAATATACATATTATACGTTGTACGTATATTCTATACAATCAATTTCTAAATAATATATAACATAATAGTAATAATAATAATGCAAATAACTATTTAACAATAATTTCTGCATGACCCACCTGTCAGGGTTGCAGGGTCTGAAAAATTTGGAGAGGAACTCTTAGCGTTCGATAGGCCGCTCATAGGGTAGAAAGTGCCCGAAGCCTTCACCACTTTGAACAAGACAGAAAAAAAAAACAATCAAGACAAAAATACTACGCTAAGATAATTCGTTTAAAACACAAATTAATAAAAATAGAATAAAGCACTTACCAGTTGTCGACCGTTGGCTCGTAGCTGAATCAGACGGCGAAGGGGTGGCTTGGGGCCTCGTCGGAGACAAGATCTCTTCTTTGATTTGAGTTTCTGTGACAAACGATACAAATGTTATATTATTATCTGGTTATAGGGAAGCTATTTTTATTATCCCGTAATAATACTGGTAAACACATATTTTCTATTACAATATTATTAAAATATGTTTAGTGCAAACTTACCTAATTTCTCAGATATCTGCAAACCAGCGGTGGCCTGATGTTGTAATAAATGTTGAGCCATCTGTGTGTATCTGGTGAACGAGTAACCGCATCCAGCTCTCACGCAGTGAAAATGCTTGTTGATCGTATTACTGCAAAAATATCGAAACGGACCGTGAAATAAAATAACGAACCGAGTAAGTATAATATGGAGTATAGTATTATATATTATTATTATGATATTAACTGCAGCTGTTCGGGCTAATTATTTTTTTTCCTTCGTTATGTAATATAATTATGATATAATAATTGCTACTCACTTTGCGCACGTGTCTAGTCGGCAGTCGACCGATCGGTCGAAGAACAAAAATCCCTCCATTATGGTGACGTTGTCATGGAAATGCGTGGAATGCGCTTGTAACTCTTCGTCGTTATCAGTGGCGAAAAAGCATCGTGGCCGACGGCAGTGATAGTGCAACGCGACGCCTTCGCTTGTGTACTTGCAGAGATTGTCCGGACAACCGTATCGATATTCTTCAAAACAGTGTTGTTCCTAAAAAAATACATAATTTATAAATCTCGGAAAATAAAACGTTTTAAAAAAATTATTATTACGTTTTATTCATGCGTATGTTATATAAAAAATAGTGACAGTTTTTTTTTCACCCCCCGTGGTTACGAAAAAAAAGATAGGTTCATTATATAGCCAAAACTTGATAATTCAATATTGAAAAGGGAATAATTATCAATTTAACATAGGTACATTTTAAAACATATCAATTTCATTCTTTATGAACATTCTCATTTGGTGAAATATTTTTAGAATATTTATACACTCGTATTTTATTCGTGTATGGCCATAAAATAAAAATCGCCAGAAAACATCGCGGTAACGCAATGCCCTGCCCGACCCCTACAGACTATCAAAACACAACCCCTCGCATCGAAAATTGGATGAAAAAACCTATCTATTAAAACCACATGTATAGGTGCAGCACTATAATATGACACAACAATGCCAATAAAATAATATGATACGTATATAAATATCGCGTATCTTCGTTTTTTTTTATACGGCACGGTGAATCTTACCAGCGTGGTCTGGGTGGGGACTTCCGCATCTTCCGACTGTTGCGACTGTCCCGACAACTGCGATGGCTTGGGCAATTTGAAACTGGTGAATATGGCCTGCGGGGAATCTCCGGTGGACCCACCCGCATAGTCATTCCATACTTCGATCACCCGGTTCTTTGGGGGTCGGCCGCGCTTCCTCCTGAACAGAGCGTCCAACGAATTGTACTGGCCGTACGGGACGTCGTGACTTTTGATGTGCTCGCCGCGCTCCGACGGCAGTACCGCCTCGTAACATCCTTCCTGTAAAGCGTACGCGCCCAGTGTTATTAATATTGTTATTTCCACACTATTGATACGGTATTATACGGTGGCGTATTGTGTGTATAGTGAGTTAGTCATTTCGTTGCATCGGGGATTGTGTACTTACCAAAACGCAATGGAAATGTTGGTCCTTGGTACACGTGTCCTGACAGTAGGCCGGCCCGCCTGGGTAAAAACTCTCGTTGATCCGTTCCTGGTTGTCGTGGTTACGAGCGTGCGTCTCAGCTGCGTCTTGAGTTCTGGAAACAAAATAAAACATGGAAGTTTAGATTATAAGAACATTGTTTTATAAAAACTCCAGGCGACACAGGAGTCAAAATTTGTCTAGTGTCAAAACAGTCCAAGCACTGCACTACCACTCTAGCACCACATAAAATCTAGTCATATAGAAAATGAAGTAATTTTGTGAATCGGGATTTCAAATTTAAATTGCACATAAATACATAATACTATACACGTATTTAATATAAGTCAATTTGAGAAAAAAACGTATTAAAAAAAAAAAATAATTATATTTTATAATATTATGACTATGATACTATATTTATATTAATTAAGAAATGTTTTTTAAGTATCCTTTACATTTCTTGATTATTGCCTACCATTACTATAGTATATTAACGTACTTGACGGGCGATTCGCAGTTGGGCTCTTTGCAGTGGAAATGATCGATTTCGGACATTGCGCAACCAGACCCACCGGTGCACGTGTTCGGTTTGAACCGGGTCAGGTATCTGGGCCACATCTCCACGTCTTCGGGCGACCCACCGTCCGCGCCACCGGTTGACGAGTTGTCTGTGAAGAATCCTTGACCACCGCTCATCTTGGACGGGGCCCGCTGCGTGGAGGACAGTGGCGACATAGGACCGCCGCCTCCGTCACTCGAGCTGTTACTGTAGCTAGCCGCGTCACCGGCCTGCGCGGCAAGTGCGGACAGAGAGGCCAGTGAGTTGGCCTGCTGGTGGAGGAACTGCAGCGAGCTGCTGGGTGATATCGACAGCTCGTTCATTTGCGAATCTGTCCCGGCCGCCGCACCGTGAGCCACTCGCCTCCCGTCCCATGGCACCCATTCATCGTCGCTAACCTGGTCCGGTGGGTTGCCGGCGCCAACGCCGCCACCGACCACGACGCCACCGACGACACCGCCGCCGCCACCACTTCCAGCCATGTTCATAACGGCTTGTTGGGCCAGTTTGAACTTTCGGTACGCAATTTCGCTGTCCTTGCGCTCGTGCTTCCGCTTGTGGCTCAGCAGCTGTCCACTGGAGTGCAGAACGTAGTTGCACCCGTCCCTCACACAGTGGATGTGATTACACACTTGAGAGAACCGGCAGTTGGAAAAACCACATGGGTCAGGTTTCATAAACTTCTTGAACCCGTCCCTCGCTAATTGTTCGTCCTTGATGTGATAGGTTTTATGTTTTTCTTGAAAAATAACAACATGCGTCATGTATTATGTAGTGCAACACGCGATCAAAAGAGGCGTCATTGCACGCGGGGCAACATATTGATCAGTCTTTCATATACAAATCAATAATAATACAATTTTTTTCTTTTACGATAATATATAGGTTACGTTTCACAGACCTCCAACATACCAATATTAATGAACTGGCTGTGTAACGCTCTTTGTATTTTTCATCCATGTTAGACAATATTATATTATTATTATAAAATATGTATATAATGTTAGAAATCTGCTTATATACAATAAATGTAATAATATGGTTATATTATAACAGCCGAAAGTATTAAAAATCACGAAATGGAGGTATTAGTGCGGCTAAGAAAAATAATAAATTATTATGATATATTTGACTTTTTTCCTTATTTTTAGACTGTTGGACCAGATAATTCCAAAGATCCCTAACGGTCAGCTCAGTAGATTTTTTAATCACCTAACAAGACTCACCCATGTCAGCTTTGTTTTTGAATGTAAACTGGCAGTGATCACGTCTGCAGTGAAAATGAGTAGTTCTCTGACCGTAGAACGCGCAGTACGGTGTCCGACATTCTTCCGTGGCTCTGAGTCTTTGAAACCCTTCTTGTATTATAGCTGAATCTTTTCTGTGATAGTTGGCATGCATTTGCACGTCGGATGTGCTTATATAGACTTTATCACAGGTGCCCTGTGAAAAACAATTACAACAATGTAAATTATGGACTTATTAATAAATTGATATTATACTTTTAAGTTTATAGTATGTACTAGTATATTACTCACTTGAATGCAATGATAATGTGTTTGCTTGCGGTTGTGACTGCATCCCTGATATCTGTCCGAACAGTCATCACTAGGCGAGTATCTCATGAAACCATGTTGCAAGCTCTCATCCCTCTTTTTGTGCCACTTGAAGTGTCTGATCATTTCTTCTTTCTTGACGAACACTCTCGAATTGCAGTCAAGACAATGGAAGTGCTCTCTGCGAGAACAAAATGAATAACAATAATATTACACTGTCTCGGACCGCACTTCAGGCGAGTCGCTCTGAAAGAAGTCTTCGCCGTACCTGTAGTTCAAATCTCTGCACCGGGCAGATCCACATTCCTGACAGCTACTGAATCTCCTCACGTAACGTGAGTAATCGCCACTGGTCGGCGTTGAGCAACCACTACCTCCACCACCGCCACCAACGGTGGACGAAGCCCCTTGCAATACCATGGTGACGTTATTGAGGGCCGAAGCTATTGAGGAAACTCCGGTTGTCTGCGATTCAGATCTGGTGGTAGTCAGCGCCAACGGGCTCAGAGACCGTTTTGATATTCCGTTATCTGCGAAAAAAAAGTATAATTCAATTTATATACTTATAACACGATGTAATGTGTACGAGTATAATAAATATTATATATTGTTAATGTATTAAAACACGCGACTTATAAGTCATCTTAGGCCTGGTGTCGGGTTACCCGTTCGGTTCTCAGCGAGGCCATGAGAAAAATGAGCGAATTTTTCAAATCCTCTATAAAGAATCCGTATATTGCGAAAACAAAACAATAACGACAATACGAGAAGCCACCGGATAGGGTTAAATCATTGTGTTCCCGGTAACCCGAGCTGTCCGTGTCACCTCATTTTACCCCGAAAAAAACCTTTCTTTGTACGCATGTAATACGAAAATATATAATAACAGTACATAATATAAAGTTGCAGAATGGTTTTTTGTGGAAAAAAAATATAAGGTGGCAGACGCGTAACCCGATGCTGGGCGAAAGGGGTGACACACGCAACCGGGAGAGACGGTGCCGGACTGTTTTCCCATAATTACGTAGTCTTGCAGTGGTCCAGGTGCGCGTAGAAACGAAATAATAAATCCTTCGCGAGTGAGACCAACCCTTTCGACAAAAAAAGTAAAAAAAAGGTCACCGTCTTTTTGTGAAAAAAATACCGCGAATACAATGAAACATGTGATGTTTAAAAAGGGAAATTTATCAAAAAGGGAATCGCGCTACATTGTGTTATATATGTTATATTTTTTTAAGGAGTTTACACTGTCGGTTTCGTAAGATTATTATTTTATTCTTTTTCATTATATTAATAAACGTGACGTTTTTTTTGTTGTTGCTCCGTTCTGATTCCCAGCAACCAAATTAATTTTAAAAAAATTCGGTTAACGACGACCACGACAGCTTTTTATGCGCGTATATACGGCGGTAGACTTAATAACAATGTCTCCGCAATAGTCATATAAAAATTTGGTAATGGTCTTATACTCAAAACAGTTTTCTTATCATTGCAATACGAAACAGGTACCAACGTGATAACAATCATTATTAAGACTCGAGTGTATTATAATATTTTTGTATTTGATTTTCCCGGTTTGTCATTGAGCGATCGTATCCAGTGACGTCAAGTAAATCACGTGGGACAATACACACGTGCACTCAACTAGACCAAACCCTGAGACTAAACGTGTCTAATATAATAATAATAATAATATAAATGCTTTATTGTACTCGAGCAGTAGCATGCTTGGCAGTTGCAAGTCATTCATTGTATACACACTCGTACTCGCGTCTTATGCTTCACGCCGCCCTTGACACGGTTAGTGGTTTACGAGTTAAGAAGAAAAAAATTCAACAAATAAATAAATAAACAAACGAAAAAGGCAATAATCATAAATACTATTTGTACGTAATGTAGGTGTACGCATTTATATGTGTATTGTATGTATACTATATATCTACCCACTTTATTTTTAATCCAAAAGATTTATTTATTACATAGTATAAGTATTTTTTGAGGAAAATTCAAAATAATAAATGTTATATACATTAAACACCTCAAACGAGGTAGACTGTATGACAAAATCGGACCACACTAGGTACCCATATATTATATTATACGACCATAAGGTGGTTCAAGGATTTTCCGTGGACCGATATATCAGAATAAAGTTTTTTTCTTCGTTTTTTTTCGCTAACTCATGGTCCACGTGTCGTATAGCATTAATGCGAAGAATTGAAATTTATAAAAAAAAATACTCGTCGGCCAACGAAATATTGCGTTATCGTCGTCATGTCGCAAAGTCTTCGATTGAAAGTTCACAATCGCCATATCTGCCCCCTCCCCATACCACCAAGCACCTATTCAAACTCGGTATAGCCGTTTCCCCCTTTTATTTCACCAATAGCCCATATTGTGCTCGAAATTGAAAACTTATCAGATTTGGTTTAAATACGCATGTTCAGGTCGTCTCTCTCGTATCTGGTCGCGAGACGACATAACGCAAATTAAAAATAAAAAATAAAAAGAAACGGAGAAAGAATGTTATAATGAACATAGTTTTATTGTTCTAATGAAAACTATTGATCTCCGAGTAAACCAGGTATTTTTTTTTTACATTATCGAACTTTAAACTTTTTAGCCATTGTTCGAGTACCTATTGTACAACTGACTGGAACAAAATAATAATAATAAAAAAGTTTAAACGCACAGGCCTCGTAGACGTTTCACAAAAACTCAATCACCATGGTAACCGATTATTGTTGATATTATTGGAAATTCTTTCTTCTTATTTTTATTTATTTATTTTTTACTCCTATCCACTCTTTTCGGCTTCTGAACATTTCTCTCCCTCCCACCCCCCAGTGCTTGTCTCACGTCCCTCTTTGACTTTAAAATTGATTATCCAGCGAATTCGTCTTTCCACTTATATATATATAGCATTATACGCACACAAGCCGGATTCAATAATACAAATCGGTTTAGTCTGTCGGTACTTCGATAGTATTTTTTTTTCGCGAGGAAACAACAAAAACAAAACCCCCACCATTTTCGTGAAAATTCCGGGTGCCACGTTGTTATTAGTCGTTCATCACATTCGGCGGGCAGGGCCGTATACAGGTATGCACGCATTTGCAAATTACGGTGGCTTACAGCAGTCGCCGCAGCCTTGTAAATATACGAATATACGATAATAATATAAAGTTATACAACACTAGTTAAAAGCGATATCCATACAATATGCCATATTATACCTATACCATACACACATACATTGTATACGTCATACACTTGACATTTATATTATAATATTATTATGTATAATATATTAATATATATATAGGTAGGCGTAGTTCACAGGAAAAAAATAGATATACTTATATAATAGGTATTATAGTTTATTATGCACCTGCATTATTATTTTTCCTATAATTTTAATACATTTTATATCCATTTATGTGTGCATGCGTGTAGCTATATACCTTCCATCGAATGGTTTTCTTTTTAACTCGCTTTATTTATTATATTATTATGTACGCGAATTGTGTGTCTTTTTTTTAACCGTTACTGTCCGCCCGTCTTCGCCCCTATGTATACGACACACACTCACACACGCGCACCGAATTTCTCGCGTATCATTTTTCCCGTGGGTGTACAGAAAATTACCTCGCGCACAAATCCATTTAGTATCGGTGTCACCTGCAATACACACACACGCGCACACATAAAAAATACATATTCTGTCTCATAATTCATCGGATCCACGTTATAAAGGGATGGTTTAACAAAAAAAAAAAAATGAAAAAATACCATTTTTACCACTATATACATACATACGGATTTCACGGGTTAAACACTATGTTTTTTTTTTACGTCCTTTTACAGAAAATTTAAAAATGATGATGAAAAGACACGATAATGGTATTTGAATTGTACGAAACGTGTCTTAAAGACATATATGAGGTCATGACGAAGCATAAACCGAAACGCTTATAGAGGTGTGGGCACGACTCCTCCGTGTACATATATATATACATATGCAGTATATACATTGCACGCGGGATTTAGTAGGGGAATGAAATAAAAAGAAATCGTTTTATTTTATTTTACTTTTGTATATATATTTTTCTCAACCGGTAGGTATTATACACTAAAAAAAGAACATGTGGGTAAAATAAATATTAACAGAAAATATCTGTGTATGCGGCGGCCACAGCCGCCGGAGATATTTTGTACGCAGTGAAATCTGTGATATTTTTTCGTCGTGATTAATGGGCATCCGTTATCTATTCAGTGCCAGAAACAACGAGGAAAACGTTTTTTCTTTCTCTCTTCCTCCCTTTGGATTTTCACCACCCGCGTTCGCGACTTAATGACTTCTCCCGGGTATACGCGTTGTTTTTTTTGTGAGTACCTACACTTTAATACGTATACATAATATGTATAATATATATTGTACCCGCGCTCATCGTATGTATTTATATTTTTGCAAAAAGTGTTGTAATTCGGATTGTTATTGGATTTTTTTCCATCTCGCGTCGCACGCGAGATGATCGAATTACAGTATCATACATTTTACAACTGTAGTAGGTATACCTTTTCACTGCAGCCGAGGCTGTTTCGTTTCCGTTTTTGTTGGATTTTCTCGTGTGTGGTTTTACAAACATTTTATTCGACCAGTGCGTCACGGTCGCGTACCCGTGGGATTAAGCAAAAACTCAGAGATAAACATTGATATGATAGAAAGCAAAAAAAAAAAAAAAACATTATAAAAAAATGTAATAAACCAACAAAGGATAGTAGTGCGAATACAATATTGTGCAATCCGATCGTCGTCGCATGATTTGGATCCGAACGATAGTTTTACTAGCATGTATAATATATAAACATATATATGGGTACACTGTACAGCCACCGCGACTGCAGTATTGTACAATAGATGTGAATAATATTTTGTATTATTAATTTGTTTCGCAACGGATTTTTCTCTCGATTTTTACAAATTCGCGAAATATGTTAACAGACCAATGTCGAAATGCACAAACGCTGCCAATGTGTAAAGTTTTCGTTTCATAATAAATATGACGCATGTCGAAGTGAGTGCGTATGATAGATGGTATCGTTCCGATTTTTATATCATTATCGATAGCGTATAATTTAAGCGTATATTAAATCGTTGATATTTTTAAGCGGCATTGATTTTTAATAATGATTTGGAAAGAAAAAATCGTATTAGAAAAATAATACTCGAGCCAACTCTATCGCAGCGTTTGATTTATTTTATAAGTAGAATTAACAAAGTACCGGTGTGTTTTTTATTTGTTTTTTTTTTTTAATATAATATACATATTTGTGTTAACACGTATTTTTTTCACTCTCTGCAGGTATGCCCTGTGGCGCTAAGGCCGACGACGGTTGAAAGACCAGTATAATCATTAGTTTTTATTACGAGTTATTTATCGTCGATTCATCGTCAGGCCAGTATTACGTTTTCAAAACTTGTGACAAATTATTATTATCACTATATAATGTTATTATTATACGTCGG